ATTTGATCACTTTCTACTTTAAAATATAGTATGTTCCTTTTGCTCCAAACAGGAACAATCCTTATCTTTCCCCATCCAATAGTTAATCCAGTCTTAACTTTGTAGAAGTCGTACTGTAAATGAACAATAAACATGTCTTGTTTTCAGTGTTAACTAGCACTGAAAGAGAAAGAACAGCAAACATCTCCCAGCCAGCGCAGACATTCTGACTTGCAGATTACAGTACATTGCTTTGCTTCCTCCAAATCCTGTTTACATGAGCAAGGTCAGGGGATGGAACATTAGAGAGCCTCTACAGTGATTTCCTGCTGCTGTCACTAAAAACTACCGAAACATCAACTTTCCCTTGTTCCCAACAGCTTATCAGGGACCAGAGGTTACCGATGTATTGCCTTCCAGACTTGAAAAAGCCCATCCTCCCTCAAAACTAAAAGTAAAATCAGAGGATGAAACAGGAGGAAATAGTCCCAAAGGAAAACAAGACTTCCAATTTTTCCTTTTCAATAGTTCAGAAAACAAGGGCAATATTGAGCTGCTTGACACACAGAGAAGAAGGGGTGGGAGAGAGGCAGTAATGCTTTCAGAGTCATCAACGAGATAGAAAGGAGAAAGAAACACCACCCCCAGCCCCCAAAGCTTGACCCCAATTCAGTGAACATTTTCAGAGTGTAAAAGGCTAGAACACACCTCATTTCTAATAACTGCAACATATGAAGGCTCTTACCCTTGGAAAAGTCAGGGCATTACGCAAATACCAGTTAGTTAAGCATATATAGCTTGTTCTTATACTGGTTTCAGTGACACACAGGAGAACTGAATAAATGAATCATCAAATTCAGAGTTATTTTCCTGACAATAATAATACACAGACGGGAATTCTTAATGCTTTTGTAATTTTAGTCCAAAAGAAAGCAGCTCCATATTGAAGATCACACTGAAGTTTTTCCACTGACACAATGACCACATTCCCTTCGCTAAGTTTACAAAGGAAGTTGCATCAGTGTGAAACTTAGATGAAAACAGGTTTTTCACCATGTTCAAAAAGAACTGGCCTTACAGCTTTAAGTTAGAACACAAGCTGAAAAGATATGCTGTTTCGAGTTAAGAGTGTTTAATAATTTAAGTGTTTTCTAGCAAAATCTCTATGAGAACATTCATACCTGCATATCTTGGCTTAATCTTTGAAGCAAGAAAATACAAGTAAATTTAAAAAACCCATATAAGTAGGCATTTTAAGTGTGGAAGTTGTTATGGATTGTTGGCTTTGATGAAGCAACAAATTAAAATTCCTTGAAAAGAGGAGGAGGAGTGGGAGGAAGAGATAATACCAGTATTTCCTCATACAGATAAAGCTCAAAATACAAATGAATTGCTAAGAAAATATCTAAATGTATTTCAAATTCACAATAAAGAATCAAGAGTGTTAAGTTTTTAAATATTTGTTTTTCAAATCTTCTCCAGGCAGACTGTTGTCAAGAATAGATGACAGTGATACTTAGCTGCACCTTAATTATCTGGAGTTGTGTGTCCTGTTTTGGGTTTCTCAATACAAGACAGACATTGACATCCTGGAGCAAGTCCAGTGGAGGGCGAGCAAGATGGTGAGGGGGCTGGAACACATGATATACCAGAAAAGGCAGAGAACCAGGCTTGTTCAGCCTTAAGAAGGAAGGATACAGGGAGATCTTACTGCCAGCTCAGATATCTAATGGGTGGATAGAGAGAAGACAGAGCCAGACACTTTTAGAGGACCACCGCAATAGAATTAGAGGCAACAGACATGTTGGAACATAGGAAATTCTAGCTACAGATTATGAAAAAAAATACTTTCACCAAACACTAGAGCAAGCTGCCCAGAGAGGTGGTGGAATCTCCATCCTTACACATATTAACAAATGAACTGGACAAGGCCTTTAGGAACCTGATCCAAGTTGGCCTTGCTGTTTAGGTGAAATGACTCCAGACATCCCTCTCAACCTATATTACTCTATTATTTTTATTAACAAATCTTTACAGAAGGGAAGAAAAGGAATACCTTTTTGCTCTGCCACAAGTCATCTTAGGGGCAGTAATAGCAAGTTTCCTATGACCAGTAGGACAGGACACAGTTCCAGTAGCTAAAGAAGAGATTCTCAATAGGGAGAACACTTTCTCCTATTTCCTGGAGTAGCTTGAGATCTATGGGAGTTTGCCCGCTTACCGTTAGGAATTTTTATAGCCATTCAACAAGACATTACAAGGTTTTGTATAGACTTACAATCTCCCTGAAGATATTTCAGGGAGCTTTAGAGAACTCATCACAGATCCTACAAGAGCTTCAATGTTCTTACTTGTCCCAGAGAAGCCAGTCTTTAAATACCTGAGACAGTGACCCAAGAAAGGCTGTATCTCTCTTCTTCAGTAGGAAAAGTAAAGTAAATATGTTGATTAGCTACTTCCAGTGGTCCAGGGACTTGCCAAGGCATTTTGTAAATAACCCTTAAGGCCCTGCTGTGTTATATGTGTGATAAAGACACTGAACAATAACCCTTAAAGATACGTGAGTGCTGAGTGCATTTTTCCTCTCTACACATATCAGAAGGGCAGAGGAACTGCTTAAGCTAGAACAAAACACTTCAAAGAATAAGTAGGTATAGACAGGACATTTGTAAATTAACCTGGCAACCTGATCAAAGTCTTTTAGTCATTTGAACAGCGTTCTTCCAGTAGAACAACCAAAAAGCCATAAGCATCTTAGATGGGTCTTGGCAAGTTTGCAGGGGAAAAAAGTGTACAGTGATACTGTCTTTGATAACTAGTAGAAAAAGAGCAACCTGGGGGGTTGGAATCAGGGAGAGGGATGGTGGAGGAGGATGAATTAGACTAGAGGTTGGTAACCTCAAGTTATAGGAGGATTAAAAACCAAAAAAACACAAAATACACAAATAATGCATAAACACAGTATCATTCAAGTGAGGACCAACAGTATCAAGAGCAAATCTGGCAGTGAAGGTGGGATGGGAAGAAATCCAGCATCTGCCCTTCCCCCTTTGATTTTTATGAAGAACACATGAAGCCTCTATAGACAGGGCCTCTATACATTAGGGAAATTGAGCCAGCTTCAGATGAAGAGGTCAAAGTCACTGACATCCAGAACCCTTTGGAAACAAGAAACAAAGAGACTGGATGGATGGCTTGATTAAGAAACAGGTGATAGTTCCACAAACAACAGAAGCTGGTAAATGCAGCAGACAGACACTGGACAGGATAATGACACTAAAAGATGAGTTGACATTAGAAAGTGGGGAGAACCAGACAGGTTGGCAAAGTTGGGGAAAGTGTTACTTACTATGGGGGAGGAAGGATGCTAGTGGCAGAGAAAACATGCAAATGGTTTCTGGATTTGTGTCAATAAGTGGTGTGTTGGACAGAGCAGTTGTCTGTAGTCCGAGTAACAAGGATACGGAAATGTTGCTAGACTGAAAAAAGATGCAGATAGTGAATGTTGATATGCAGAAAGGTGAAAATCAAAACGTGTGATTGAGACAGGAATGGAGTTAGGATCTCCAGCTCCTGGGCTGTAACTTGCCACTTGGGGGAGGAAAAGAAGAAAAGGGGGGGGGGGGGAAATGTAGTGATTACTGACACAGTCAAGAGACATGAATTTTGAAGCAACATTTTTGTAATGAAGACTGTAAAGCCAGCCAGCCAGCAATAAAAAGGATGCTGTCTCTAGTGGGTCAGCTTATTCCTACTATGAGTTCTGGGCATAAAGTTTTATAAACTGCTCTCATATCAAAAGAATTAATGAAGGAGATGAAATGATTGGCAGCTTTATAGGTAGGTAACAAAGAATTACAGTGTAACCATACATTTGAATTCTGTGATCAGTATTAAGATCAGGAAGTAATGAACACAGTATTTTAAAGTGATAGGTAGCCAATAAATTATATCCACCACAATCTACTGTCAAGCCTACTAAAGAGATTTCTGTAAGTCTGCAAATTACTTTTGACAGAAGTTATCTTAAAGAACCATATTTCCATTGTGAAAACACAACATGACAACTGCTAAACCTTAAAATATATGAAATTATCATCTCTTAAATAAAGGTTATTATATGATTATTTGTTTTGAAGAAAAGGTTTCTCTTAGACATCAACCTCTGTATCATGATCTGCAATAAATGATCTCAAAGAATTTTAAAAAATATCTTCACAACATACCTTTTCATAAAGCATTCATGACCAAATAGAACAGCAGAAACCACACCTGCTGCCTATTCATATTATTAACTCTTCAGCCACTCAAACTCGTTATGGTAACTAAAATTGCTCAAGATACAATTTATGCCTTCACAGGAACAGAGTCAGAGCTAAAAGAGAAATTCTCATTTTAACCTAATTCTAGAACAGTACGTCTTTTAGATTTCATACCAGGAGAGCATATTTCTCCTCCTACGAAACTACCGTTAAAACATTGCCTTCCTTTCCTCCCACATGCCATACCAATGTCACATGAAAAGCTAACACTAGAAGGATCCAATCCTATGATTCTGTCTTAAAATGTGTTACTTTTTTTTTTCCCCTCCTAGAGAACTACTAGATGCCTTAAAAGGAGAAAAATTAAAACATCACTTTTGAAATTTTATCAATGAAGCAACTATTCTTTAGGTTTCCCATTATTTGCAGATAAAGACAGAGTTACAAAAAGCGTTTGAGAATAAGCCATAAATTTGAACAGTAATATTTGGATATAATTAACACGGGCTTATAATTAGAATTTCTGCTTAGTATATGGGTAAAATTACTGGTATAACGTGAAAGCTTTGCTATTACACCATCTTCTGGTTAGCCTTGGGAACTGTGAAAGAAAGCTTAAGTTGAGAAGTTAGGATATTGAGCTCTGAGCAGTCGACAATTGTTAAAAAAATATATTTCATTCATACAGGCAGAAAGAGCACATTTCTGATAACTGTTAGTTTAAGCTATACCTTCTCCCCCACCCCGAAGGCAACTTACTGGAGTACTGAAAGATGAAGAGGAGCTAATCTCTATGACAGGTGGGTCAAGTGTTTGTGTATTAGTCACATCAAAGGTAGGGTTGACCTGTTAAAAATTAATTAGAATATTGTTATTTCAGCACCAATAGACAAAGGGAAATAAGACCAAAATAAAAAGGACCACTTGCTACATTAAGGCACCACTATTCACTAAGGACTGGAAACAGGCTTTAAAATTTGTAAAAATAAAGGTAGGATGTTACCCTCCAACCATGTAAAATGCAATCATATAATACAGAAAGAGAATCCAGATATGCATTTATTACAGAAATATAATTCATATTTCATAAAAATCCATCACCCAAAACTAACTCAGGGGATTCCTACCACAAGAGGTGCAAGTATTAAGAAGTTCAGTGGTATGACAAATCAATAAAGCTGAAGTTACAAACACTAGTTTGAAATGGATTTACTAAAACAGCTAACTCAAAACCTGCCCAAGGCTGAAGCCATGCAGTCAGTGTCCAATGATGCTGCTGAAATACTGAACCGTAGGAAGTATTCAAACAACTTTCCAACTCTGTAACTGTCACTTGCAAGTACTTTTGAAAGTTTTCACGTGTGCACAACAACTATAAGGGCTCCTGAAAGTCACCTTTGAGTTTTATGTTCCAGTGTCAATCACTTGTGGGTGCAGTTGTAGGCCATCTTTCCTATTCCTCCTTTCACCAGAAGAACTGTCCCTGGCAAAAGTGGTGTACGGGCCTGGATAACCCTGGACTCGAGAGCTGCCTTCTAGCAATGATGCTCAATTAGCTTGTTACAGTCCAAGGACGGCAGTATCCTTCCACTTGTGGAGGTTTCCATAGACAACTATGCAGCACTCTTTTATGTTACACTGGTCCCCTGCCTGTTGTAGATTATTTTGGGCACATCCTCATAGTCTCATACCACAGCTTGTAAGTCCCACTACCATTCAGCTTGAGCTAGGATCAATGTGGTTGCAGCCACGCTGGCTCAGCAATGCATAGGAAGGTGTGCACCAAGCCAGGCCCTAAGCCTGAGTTGCCTTACTGACGTGGGTACGTCATTAGCAGCAAAGTTGAAAGTGAGCACACACTTAGCAGCCCAGATCAATCAGTTCCCAACTCACACTCAAGTTCCTCAAGTCATCTATTGCAACCAAACAGACAGACTGTCGACATGCTTGCCTCTTACGCGCCAAATCTGACTGTCAAAATAACTTGAAAAACATTGTTGTGGAAAACAGGTAGGAGGTAACACTGAAATCTGTGATAAATTAACCAGCCAAACACAAACGATGCTGTTCCTAAAACCACAGGAAAAACTTCTTTATGCTGGGATAATGTCAGAGGCTGGTTGATCAGATACGTCATCACAACATCTGCGATTTTGATGTCTCAATATCACAGTTTGACTACTCACTTATTATTGGTTATAGGAGTTAATCTATAACTTTAGCAATATTTTGCTAGTGTCCTTTCAGGAAAGTGAAGCATTAACAAAATATAAGAGAAGATAAAGTTTGAGAAAGCTGCTGCTTTTATTTATCTTATGGTTTTACCTAAGGATCAGAATATCCTCCCTATAAAAACCTGCATGCGTATTTTCCCTACCATTGTATTATCTAGGTGTACCACAGCCTAATAAGTTTGCCCTCTCAGTGTGATGTATGAAAGTACTATTCTTATTATACTTTTATGAACTGACAAAATTCACAGAAAGACTAGATGACTTTCAAATCACCAAGAACTCTGGTGTAGTAAAGAGAAATGGACTTTCTTCTTTTCAACTTTTCCAACCATCTTACTTGAAAGTGGAAAAAAATAAAGAAAAACCCCCAAACTCACACTTGCCTAGTGAAAGGGTTATATTTTAGTTGCTGAAAGTTTTAGATACAAGGGTCATTTTATTTTGTCTTTTCAAAGAGAAAGGGCCTATCATTTCACCTGAAGACTGTCAAAACTCTGGCTCAGCCAGAGCTGCTCCCTCAGTAACAGCATCAGTGCTATTTCCAAAAGCAAAAAATCCCTGATGCTAGAGTCCATATGTTGGCATATAGACTTCTAGGTCAGAGATCCATTTGTTAAGTAGCTAGAATGTGACCTTAAAACTGGAATTAGTAGCCAGGGAAGGCAGGCAATAGCATCTTGTACTGCCTAAAGCCTCTTCATTCAGTTCATTTGGATTTCTATAACTTACATGCAGAAATTTAAGTTCAAACTCATAGAAGTAAGATCTTCCTCGGTAAATGCGGGTGGAGGGGCAGGGAAGAAGATGATGAACAAAGTTTGCTAGCAAGCTAGAAGGTAAAGAGACATTTAAATACAGATGTCATCTGATTATTCAAGCTGAAAGTGATCCTCACACTTAGCAGCACTTGTCATCAGAGATGACAAGCCTTCCTTAAGGGGAGATCTTAATTCTGTTTTTAAGCTAGTTCACCTTTCTGACTAGAATTGCTTAGCTCTTTCTTGGATTCAGTTTCAACAAGCATTCTTCATCCATGAGCTCTTTTTTGTAGGTATTCTGTCTTTTAATTCAGATTATAGTTGCATCAATCGAGAATGAGCTACTTGGAAGACAATCAGGAAAACCCATCCTGCTACTGGGCTATCAGAGCTGATAACTTAAAATTCTCCCTCAATTTGTAGATATTAGGATCAAGTCTTGCATTCTTCCAATTTTGTCAAATGGACTTGGAGGAAAGAAAGGGAAAAAGGAGAACGAAAGCCAGGTAACATGGTCTAAGTAATAACTTGCCATTTGTCTGAAAGCTCTCTACAGAAACATGATTAATGAAAGTCTCCTCTGCATATAGCATTGCTTACCACTTTATCAGAGTTAAGGTGATGAAGACAGGAACTGCAAATTTTACTTTTTTCCCCTCTATACATACCCTGTCTATTTAGATTAAACAGACAACTGTCCCAAAGAGCTTACATTTGTTTAGTGCCCAGCATAACCAGGGTCATCTGCTTCTGACCTTCAGTCAGTCCTGTAATAAATATAATTAACATGTTATCTGAGTGTCAATCATACTATGGGCAGCTAAGCCTAAAGTCTTTTTCTGACATGCATCATTTGGGCACTGAAAAGAAGAGAGGACAATGCACCTGCAGGACTCCGCAGAAGAGGGACAGCAGGTGCCTATCACCTATCAATGTAGAGGAGCTACTGTAGTATTATTACTAATAGCTCTTGAAACTTCTTTGAGATAATATCTCCCTGTTATATACATCAGAGATATTGTAGAATGAGTTAAATACTTTTCTTGATAGGGGCTTGCTAAATAAATACATGGTATGATTAAGTTAAGAAAATGTGCTCTTTATGTGGAAGTGTCACATCCTGGAGCTGGAATGAAAGTCTTCTCTGTATATAATTCTGCTTACTGCTTTATCAGAGATAAGGGGAGGATGAGGGGCATTGCAAACACTGACTAGGGACTGTCATAGGCCATATTAAAAGACATATCTATATATAGAGATATATGAAATTGTTAAGCAACAAGTCAGAAATCGCAAAGTGTCTAAAGAAAAAAGCACAAAAACCATGAAGGCTGTAGGTAAACCCTTCTTGCAAATATTCATGTTTAATATTGCACTAAAAATTAATGAGGTAATGGAATGAAGCTAAGTGTAAAAATTTAAAATGACTTGACATTTCCTGACGAGGTGATGTAGTTAGCTGTCAAAATAATCTCACCAAACATATTTGGAAAAACTTAACTTTAAAAACAAGACAGAAAAACCAGAACACTAAAAAGCAAGGCAGAGAGAACTGTCTCGTATTAAAGGTTTTCAAAAACACTCTTCCAAAGCTTTCCTTTAATTACCTGGTAAACTGATACATAAGTATTTCCATTATCTTCTTCCAACACAATGATACAATTATCACATTTTGATCCATAGCACAAGAAAATATATTTAAAGGAAGGTTTCTACAGAACCTTTCATGTAAGGAATTACAGATTTCTAAAGACTGAAGTGGAGTGAAACCAAAATATATTATTTAAAGAAAGTGGGAGGTAAGAATTAGGACCACTGCTTAGGACAGAGAACTAGGGAGGAACAAAAGGAGCAGGCCCAACTAAGTATGTGATTCTCAGCCATATGCTTTAAGTAAATGATTATGCCCCTACCAATATCGCTCTGTTGATTTTAATAAAGTATATCCAATCTGAACCCCTCCCCCCCCCACTCTTCACTTTATTTTTATAATGCATTTCGTAAGACATTGGTGTTATATCAAAAAACTAGAAATCAACAAAATTAAAAGAGGAAGTTTTAAATTACTCACACAAACTATTTCCTAGGAAAATGATGTAGCTAGCTGTGAAATAGACTCTGCAAATATACCAAGAGAAATTTAGCTTTCAATTTGATTAAACACTGTTCTTTGTGCTAGACTGGAGCCCTCAAGCCAAGCAAGCCATACATTCTTATTCCTACTGCCACCTAGCGTATGTTTGGATTTCCTTCAGCTAAGAAAACATTTACAACTGAAATTACACTGAAAATTTTAAGATTAAACTAAATCAACAGTAGCTTTTCATGCTCAAGATATAACCTTTGCACATCTTAATGTGTTCAAACCTCAATGCTATGTTTTTAAAGGAAACTGTAATTTCCATCTTCCATCCGCTTTAAAGAGGTCTCTAGCATATGAAAGTTTAATTATGTACAAACACAGGAAATTCACAAATACAACTGTCACCAAGTGGAATGCATTTCTTTTAGTATATTGCAGTAAAACTGCATTACTGATTAAACATATTATTTTCAAATAGCTTCGAAAGCTTCTTATTTCAAAGAGAGACAATGACTGGGATTTATCTCAGCTAAATTTAGACATACTGCTAGACACCTATATTTGAGCTGGTCACCCAAGATTGCCTTTATGGTCTATGGAAAAAAAGTAGGCACCTTCAGAGAACAAGTCATTTACTTACATTTCCAAATTGTCTGAATAATTGGAATGATTACAAGCTTTAAACCTCTACTTACTTGAATATTCAAGAATCACATTGATCAGTGCAGTTGGAGAACAGTTGTAAAGATTTACAAGTCAAAAACATGAAATTCAACACTGCATTAAAATTCAGGCTACTGCTGGTCTGAAGAGGAAGAGATACAAGTAAGGAATTTCTTGTAAAAGTTAATTATGCTTCAAAAAGTAGGCAGGGAGATAGAAAAAAATTAGAGAAGGTATCTTAAATATTACTGGCTCTGTGTATAGCTTTGAAGTGTGAATAAGGAAAAGTTCTAAGAGAAGGTGAAAGTACACAAGTTCCACATTTCAGTCACTATCCTGAAGGCAAAATACCAGGTGATACCTGCAATTCTTAATGCCCTTGTGCAAGCTGTTTTGTTCAAAAAAGCATTTCCAACTGGTGGTGTTGTTTCCTCTTGAGATCTACCTGTACATCTGTTGAACTTTTTGTTCTACCACTTTGAATTTTATCCTAAGGCA